ATATATATATATATATATATACATACATACATACATACATACATACATACATACATACATACATACATACATACATACATATATATATATATATATATATATATATATAGCCACAGTGGCTATAACGACATTTCCACCATAAATTGATGCAGAAACATTCACCAGAATGCAGCAAATGAAGCGTTTTCAAAACATGTCTCCCCACCAATGTTGACACCAAAGCTACGGCCTCGTATTCCTCTCCTCCCCCTCCCATGTACTCACCCCTCCTCCCCGACAAAGCTGACGTAGAGCTTGCTGCGCTGCAGGTCTTTACGGGAATAGCACATGATCTGGTTGAAGGCGTCTTCCAGCAGATGGTCACGACGGATGATCAACCTGAGACAACGCAAGCAAGCAATGAGCGGACAGACGGACACATACACAAAGAAACGTCTCTCTTCATAAGACACATTCCACCTACTTTAGCTTGCCCGGTCCTTGGCCGTAGCCTTTAGTTTCCAGTTTCCTGTAGAAGTTGCGCAATTTGGCCTCAAAGTCTCTCTTATAGGGTGCTGGGGCTCTGGCGTTGGCCCTCTGAGTACCTACAGGTCGAGAGAAAGAGGGGAGTTGTATACTGTGCTGCATGGCATGGGAAACCAATGGATTGCAAATACACATGCATCCAAGCAGTTCCAAGCTGTAGCTAAACAAGATTCTATTCTATTCTATGCTCAGCACACTTCCACCGGGGCCTTGTCTTTCAAAACTGCACTTAAAACTCATCTATTCAAATCTGCTTCAAACCTGTAAAGTTAGTTATGTACGTGTTTGTGCTGTTCCTCACTGTTATGTCGTCTATTTTGTTTATATTGTCACAAAACCACACGTTGCATATCTTTGTTGACTGATGTTTTCTGCTGGCTTTTCAATTTGGAGATCTTTGGAAATCTTTTCTGATGAATTGTAATGAATTGATTTGTTGTATTTCGGCAACCAAATTTAGTTTCATCACAGTAAATGATCTTTTGCAGTCACTTATGATTACTCTCTTCAACGCACAAGTGTGTACTGTCTGTGTGTGACTTGTTTCTTAGTCACTTACCAGGCGAGTTCTGTGGGGAGGCGACAGGGGATCCCCGAGGTGACTGGCAGTAGCTGGGGTGAAGTAAAGCATGAGGAGGCACGTAGGACATCACTTCATCTTCAAACAGACTGCGGAGGAGAGAGAGGATGAGAGACGAAGTGAGGAAGAAACTGAATGAGTAGAGTGACTTCAGTTGAAAGAGAGTGAGAGGAAGGATACACATTAGGGAGGAAGCAAAGAGGAAGGTGATACATAGCCGATATGTAAGGAAGATAGACAAAGGAAGTATATTAAAAAAAAGAAAGAGCGGGGGAAAAAAACTAGGAGTGAAATAAGGAAGCAAACATCAGGGAGGGGTGTAGACACTGAGGGAAGGGAAGAAGGAAGCAGGTCTCACCTTAGTAGCATGACAAGATCAGCATCACCTGACAGCCTGGCCAATCCTGACCCTCCATCTGTGCGTATGAGCTGCACCTTCTCCCTAATGTCACATTAATATCACACTGAGACAGATGCTGAGGACTTGAGCTTTGCTTGTTATGCAAGCTACACCAATAGCTATACTTATGGTACCAAACAGGAAAAGTCGGTGTTTTGGGTATAGGTTGTCTGTGTTAGTATGTTAGCCACATACCTGAGTGGATGGTTCCGGTTGAAGTCAGGCTGTCTTTCCTGCAAAATCTCAAAGATGTTTGGTTGTCGAAGAAACGCCACAATCTTCTCGTTGTAAGCTGGAGGAAAAGCAGACGCATCCATGTAGGTTGTCTTCGATCATTTCTGAAGGCTTGTGTGCGTTTGTACTCACCCACTGGCACGACGTCTTGGCACTGCCCCCTGTTGGCAGAGGTGAAGGTGCTGGAAGGCCGCGGCAGGACGGGCGGGCCGGCGTGACGGGGGTCTTCACCAACCTACAGAGGGAGGGGAGAAGCGCGTTCGATTTTTCATAGTTTCTACCTCCTCATACTGCTGTAAGCTGCGGGATTTTTGGATCTCACCAGTCGCCTCGGGCTGACCTCCCCGGCGCTGTGGCTGCGTTGGCGAGTCAGGTGTTGGCGGTGGGCCAGGAGGCTCGGGGGCCGAGTGCGCTGAAGAGGAAGCCGGGGGTCGATGAAGGTGGTGGCGCGGCAGTTATGGTCCACAAAGAAAGACTGAATATGTACACACAACATGAGGCTGTCAATCAAGCATCCATTTTACAGTGGAGACAAAACGAAAAAAAAACCCTTTTGAAGCATTTACACCACATCCCCAGTCATAGTGTAGACCTATTCAACAATATATGCAAATGTTGAGCATATATTCTGTATACATACATACAGTCTGTACTGTATCTTGAACTGAATTTAAACACCGACTGTATCCACAACCCTTAAAGCCCTCGAGTTAGAAGACTTTGAGACGCACTGGTTGATATGGGCGTCGCCCCACCTTGCCGGTATGGTCGTGCTTCATCTCCCAGCCTCTCGGCAGCTCCAGCTGTTTGTTGGCGAACAAGTTGAGGAAGGCCACCAGGTCCCTGTTGTGCTGGTAGCGCTCAAAGTGGTGACCGTCCCGACGAACTTTACTGATCATGTGCTTCAGACACGTGTTGGTGGTGAACATACGGTAGGCACTCTAGGCACGCAAAGGGAAGCAGGGGAGAATTTATAGAGGAAAAGGAAGGAGAACAGACAGAAAGAAGAGGGGAAACACACAAGTTGTCTTGTGAAGTCATCCCACTGTGATACTGTGTAATTATTTACCATTTTTACATTGTGTTTTGGTTTTAATGAGTAAAAGACTGAAAATGATTGGTGTGGGGAGGGGGGCTGAATTCATCAGGTCAACAATTGGTTTATTATTAAATACCTGCATTTTCATCAGCCTCAGTTGTAGTTTGTGTTCGGTGTTAATTAGCAAATTTTAGCGTGCTAATTCTAGAGTAAGATTAGAGGTGCTGGATTTTGTTACCTTTGGACAGAGCCAGTCTTTATGCTAGACTAAGCTCCCCCTTTTCTGACCCCCCTAATAATTTCCGTACAGTCCCTTAATGAGTGTGTGGTCAACAGACTTTGCTGTTCCTGAAACAAGCAGCAGAGTGTGTGACCTATGAGATGGATGTAAGGGGAAAAAGCAATTGATTGGTTGAGGAGAGAGAGAAGAGAGAAAAGAGGAAAAAGACTGCCCGTACAGGGTTGGAATGCAGCACAGTGAAGAAGTCGGGGCTGGTGAGGAACTTGGCACTGGGGGACTGAAGCAGCAGAGTGAGGCGAGACCTGGGACTGGACTGAGCCACACTGGTGTCCCTACGCAGCTCTGCAACACACACACACACACACACAAAGTCAGACCAAACTAATCAGGTCTCCAGGACATGCTTTGCAGAATGCATAGACAATAATGCAGTACATGAGAGGATTACCTGGTATAGAAGGTTGCATGTCAGTCTCATCTGTCAGCAGCTCATTGGCTGGCTGCTCCTCTGGTCTGCTGTCATTGGTTATCGTCCTACGTATACTCTGATACCTGGAACGGTGTGTGTGTTTGTGTTAACTGCCATGATGATAGTTTAAGTAATCAAGGTAATGGCAAAACTGTTAAGATTCAAAATACTGTTGTTTTTTTGCTTTCACAGTTTGAGGAGTAGAGTGTCTGTGTGCACGATCTGACCTGCGGTTCAGCTGCTCCATCTGCTGTATGGAGCTGGACCTCTGGAGGGTCTGCGGGGCGGGGGGAGCGGTGGGACGTTGCCAGGTTGTGGTTCTGTTCACATGGTCCACGTAAAAGATCCTACCATGGCTGTCAATACGAGCCTCCCAGTCTGGATCACACACACACACACACACACACACACACACACAAACAGACAAATTTGTGATTGGTGATATCGAGCTAAATAAATAAAATTGAATTGTATTGAAGAGACAACTGCTGCAGCAGAGACTGTAAAATATTGACGTGAAAATTGAATGATTAATATTCTTGATTCTCTCAATATGAACTATTAAGAAGACCTCCAGTGAGGCTACTATACTATTACTGCTCAGTCACGCCTAATAGAGGAGTAAAGCTGTACAGGAGGTAAGCATGTGTGGAGGTGTTGTAATATTTTCCCTTGTAAATAAAAGGAATAATATGTCATTTATTTTAAAAATTCACCTGAAAAATAGAGCAAAAAAAAAAAAAAGCCATAGCCATCGTGTATGTCACCTGTCTCTCTCTCCACAACTGTCCCGTTCGGACTGCCTCTGGCCCCACAAACCTCCTGGTTTTGGGCTGTGCCTCCGGAGGCCTGCATGGACTGCCTCCTCCTCCACACCTCCCCGTCCTCCTGCTCCTCCCGAGCGCCTCTCTCACTGGCTGTCGCTCCTGTAATTAACAAGTTGTTTTAGTGCAACCAAGTGGCTATCTGTCTGGTGTGTTGAATCCAAGCTGTAGGCAACCTATATTATATATTATAGTATGCGCTACAAATAACACAGGAAAGAAGTATTAACAGTATGGGTAAATACTCAAACCACACCACACTACACAACATGAACTGCATCGGGGAAAAGCGCGAGTCAGCTCCACCCCCACTCACCGTCTTTGCCCATTTTTGTATTAGCCGGGAGTTGGGCGGAGTCGGGCACTGCTAAAAAGTCAACGACCAGAGTTTGACTTATTTTATATTGTATTTTAATAATATTGTAGTAAATATTGTTGCCCATAAACAGCAACATTTACCACTTACCAACTTCAGAAGTCCCTCCTCCTTGGGTAGCTATGGTGCTGCTCACAGGAGCAGCTGCTTCTACTGGTCCATTGGCCTCGCTGCTCGATGACTCCCCTTCCTCCTCCGCCTTCGGAGCCACTTCTTTTCTTGTCTCCACCTCCTGTGGACAGGAGAGGGGAAAAATGAGCAGAGAAGAGATTTAAAAAAAAAAAACCTCTGTCCAAATTAGCATCCAAGACATGTTGCTTTTAGCCACCAAACTTCAGCTGCTCACCGGAATGGGTGAAAGTGGACCAAGTGAGGGAGTGCAGGGTACCTCCTGGTTTGCCCCTGTCCTGCTGCTCTGCTCCTGACAGGTACATTCCCCCACGGACTCAACCGGCCCAGCTGCTGCTTGTACATCAGTCCCTGATGCCTGAGATGAGCAAGAAGCTGTCAGAATGTCTCCAGTGACGTGTGCAGCCTCTGCTGACGCTCCAGCAACCCCTCCGGTCCCAGCTGCTGTCTCGGCAGCTGTTGATGTTCCTGCCTGTGCTTCTGCAGCTTCATCTCCAGGTTCGGCACCTGCAGGTTCAGTTCCAGGCTGAGCCCTGGCAGAGGAACCTGCTTCTGTTGTAGCCCAAGCGCCAGGCCCAGTTGCAGCTCCGCTCTGCCCCTGTGGCTCTCCTTTTGAACCCTCATTCCCCTGTCGAGACTCAGATGTAGCCCACCTACTCGATAAGGCTAAGTCTGTGCTGTGCTGTGTCCTTGTCTCCTGGGATTGCTCCCTGTGCTGCCCCGCCGTCTCCTCATCCTCATCGGAGTCTATGTGCAGCATGGCATTGAGCCGCGTGTCTGTTGGAAAGCTGGAGCGGAGTTTCGGCGAAGGCCCCGCGAAAGGTCGGTCCCCGGGGCTCCTTGGAGCCTCGATGGTGTCCAGGTAGTCGTTGAGCGACACCTGCCGGTGGGTGTGACAGCCCAGAGCCACAGCAAGCAGATCCTCCTGTCCCATCTGCCCAGGCTCCTGCCAAATGCTGTCATCTCCATAGTAACAAGCACCATTGACTAACATGGAGCCTTCGTCGGGGCCTGTCGGGGAAGGTCTGTATGTGACGCGTGAAGAGGATTGGTGAGGGAGGTCTTCGTCGTCTGAGGGACTTCCAGGGTCACCGTTCACTGCACCTAGGACGGCTCCTACAGCCTCTGGGGACGCTTCTGGGAGAAGGAGAGGATGGAGAAATGAAGATTGGGGATAAGCACAGTCCCGTGGGAGTCATGTGGTAGAAAACAAATGTTGGCCATGGATCAATAAACCGAGGAAATGGTTTAGGGGAAATTGTGAAGTTAGACTTTGAGAATGTGCATCAGTTATTCTGAATAAAAGCATGGAACTCTTCAATAAAAAAAGAAAAATGAACAGCTTGTACGATATATATATATATATATATATATATATATATATATATATATATAAAAATGCGGTATTCAACGTCATACCAGCTAAATGAGACTAGTGTGTCAGAAACATTTAGAAAATATCCCTTATGTGGTATTTAATACAATGGAAATGTCTGAGGTAACTGACTGGTCAGTCTGCTGTGTACAGCATTGAGCAGAGAACACGTTTTATAGTATTATATTTTTCTGGTGCAGAATTAATCCATTCATCCAGTATAAATAACAAATGACTTTAGCTGATAACTATCTAACATATCCAGAGGTCCAGATCACAAATTGAATCCTCCAAATCCCCTCAACGTGTATTAATCCATTCACATGGATTTCCACATTTATTTGATATATGACGTGAATGTGACAGTCAAACAAGTTTTGATCATGCAAAACACTGTACACTAATGTGTGTGTTGCTCATTTACATTACCACAAAACAGTATAATGTAAACATACACACACACACACATACACACCTTCATGTCCAGTGGAGGTGACAACCACCCTGAACGAAAGCTGCCCGCTCACATGGTCCGTAGGGAGACGACGACACAGGCTGTAGCTGACTGGCTGGTCACTGCACGCACACACGCACGCACGCACGCACGCACACGCACACACACACACACACACACACACAAATCAATGCCTGAGCTGATTAGGACGTATCGATCGGTATTGACTGCACTATGTTGAATCACTGTGCTGAAGTTCAGATGACTGTCGACCTCCTCAGACGTTCCCGCTTTCTGTCTGAGTGCTCGTCTAAAAACCTGCACCTTTCATAGATGTGCACGCAAAGGGAATAAGAGCTATGTGTGTGTGTGTGTGTGTGTGGACACTCACTCAGCAGTCGGCCCCTCCAGAAGCCTCTGAACAGGGAGGATCAGCTGACCCAGAAACCGCTTGATGATCGGTCGGCTCTTGGCAAACTTATCCTTCACCTCGATCTCCAACACGTCAGTCATCAGAGCCACAAAGGTGTATTTCTACAGGACGATCAAGAGGAAAAAGTATAGTTTTATTGACATTTACGGTTCATTTATTTACACTGTGCATTTAGAAATAAATTGTATTCAAATGCTTCAACAATTTCTACATCTAAGCCCGACTAGGCTGCTTGTAAGTACATTGAGTTAGTTCTCTGGACAATATCGGCAAACTATTAACATGAAAGAAGTCGACATCAGGGAAACAACTGTCCATCAACTTGTTTAGTGGCGGATTGAAAACCACCTCTATACCGCCACCTAGCGTCTGTGTCAGAGTGACATCCGGCCAATCTAAAGACCAGAGAGTATAAGAAATATACTGGTTTATTTTTTTAATCTTTAAGCATATAAACATGTTCTTGTAGAAATACAACATGAAATAGTAACAATTCTAGTGTAGACAAGAAGCTAAAATACAAAATGTCACATTCGAGCTCTTCCTTGTTGCTGGGAAAATTATAAAGAGAAACTACAGAACAGCAAAAATCCAAGTATCAAAACCTAATGAAGTCATTTTTTAAATCCACACTATGGTCTTGCCATATGAAATAATAATTATTTACATATATCAGGAAACTTTGCTGGGGAATTAACAGGAATTTATGGGATTTGAACTGGGAAATGATGAGAATAAAATGGAAATATAGGGATTATCTGCTTAGGCTGTATTTAGTGTACGGATAGAAACATTTACCATATCATAAATTGACATAATCCATTCATTTGTCAAATAAGTACAGTGTGAAATATGCAGTCAACTAATGGGGAAAGGAAGTTTGTGGGTTGTGTTCAAACTTAGGGTCTAACGTAGACAGCTGATTCATAAAAGAAATGTTTTACACTTAAGAAAGAAGGAAATTGATTAATTAAAACTCCTTAATTTGCTCAATCAATTTACATCCCACATGCTAACGGCTAGAAAGCACACACCAGCAGAAAGTGTTAACAAGTTATAAACTGTGTACTTTGCTGGTTCATACAAAATATAAAATATATTCACTCCAATATAATTATAAATAATTACATGAGAGTGTAATGCTTTAACATTTCCCAGAAATGTAGTGAAAATGTTCCAACCCTTTGCAACCCTAAAGACAGCACAGACATTACTTTTAGATGTCAAGTTCTGTGTGTGTGTGTGTGTGTGTGTGTTTGCGCTGACCTCCCCGTGCCACACAGGGTTGGTGGTGTTGGCTATGATGGAGGAGCGTCTCTCCTGGCCGTGGTGGGTGAACTTGGGGAGGCCGCTCCTCTTCCCGGGCTGGATCGACATCTTCAGGTAGGGGTCGGGGTTGAAGAACATGCCCTTCTTTAGGCCCACCGCCCGGATGTCTGGAGGAGAAAACACACATTTTTAAGCGTTTGTGACCATCTTTTACTTGACCACAATTACACCACAATTACACCGAATCAGTCCTCATACCGGATAGGGTGAAGCTGACAAGTTTACGACAGTGCTCAGTCCCTGATTGGTCCTCCACTTGGCCTTCACTGCCCACCTGATGAGAAAGCAATCAATAGGAGAGCATTATGAGTGGACCCCTTACCCTTCCCATTTTTAGAGTGAACCAACTTCACTGTTGGAGAAAAAAAACATTAGATATTGATGACAAGTTAAAAGGAGGAACATCAGAGAGGGAGAGGAATAATGAGAGAGAGAGAGACTGCTTTACATTTTACTGACTCAACTGGAGCAAATGTCTCTTAGCCTCAGTTTGTGCTGCCAAGAGCTCAATGACGTCCACTTCTCTCCATTCACTCGGACTGCATCCCTTCCTTCTCTTCATTAGTTTCCAGCTTCTGTCTTCGCTGAACGGAGTCCAAAATATGTGACCCAATAACTTTTCCGGGTTAAGGGGCAGCAGTCAAGAAGATTTTCTTCTCAAAACCACCTTTTCTGAACTGGACCCTCAAGTAATCCTTTATTTAGTCACTGTGTTCGTTGAAGATGATAACCAGGCCCCATTTTTTTTATCCTTTTGAGGAATCAAACAAAAAGTTAACCTAAGACTAAAAACACCTACCTCATTGTAGGACTTAAAGATATTCTCACGGCTTGACTTTCAGCAGCACAATTCCTGTGACAAAGCATGACACTGCTGCTGTCTTACAATACTCGCAAAGCAGATACTATGTCCGGCTTGGATGTTTTACTGATCGCACCTACCGGGCACAAGACCAGAGGTCCAAAGTGTCAGGGGCCAAGATTAAAAGTTAAGTTGTTCCTTCTGAAATGCTTGATAAATATGGCAGCTGATCACTGGCCACCGGAAGCCAATCAGATGCCAGGATTTAGGATGCGACAGTTTCATATGAGAGTAGAAAGAAAGAATAAGAGCTGATGGTGAAAGAGGTGGAGGAATGACTGGTGGGACCTGAGGGAGATGTAGATGGGTCACACACACTAACATACCGGTACTCCAGGGTTCTTGACGGTGATACAAGAAGTTGTTGCTCTTAATGCTCCACTTACGCCGTGATAGTATTTAAAGCAGATCTTAGTCTCCGCTGTGGAAAGAACAAAGATACAAATGATGACATCACTACGACATTATCAAGGCTATTTTCTCAGACCTGACAAAGCTCCTCCATATCCACTGAAGACGCTACACAACCGATCTGAAATAAAACAATTGGTGGAATGCCCCTTTAGCTAAAAAATAACTGAACCTAAGGCCATGTCCACACTACTACGTTTCCATTTGAAAGCACATAACTTTTGCTACGTTTACACTAGGCCGGAGTTTCAGAGCACCTGAAAACAGATACGTTTGAAACTCTCCCGAGGACGGATACGTTTGAAAACTCCAGGGTTACAGACTAGTGTAGACGGTCGTAAACGCATACGTTTGGAAACGATGACATAGACACCCGCATTCGCTACTTGATTGGTTGTTAGCAGTCACGACGTGTCCTTCCCCGATTCGTCACGCCTCTATCACGTGACCCTTTCCCGAAAGATCACAAACAACATCAGCCTTGATTGCCGATCGACTGACTACAGGCGTTGCTGACCTTGTTGTCTTTACTAGCAGCTGTTGTTCAGTTAAAGTCTGCATTTTTGTGGAGGAAGCAGCTGTTAGTGGAGCGATCAGGGAGCGGCGTGTCCGGCGGCGTCATCAGACCTACGGAGCGGCCGTCTGAAGTCACGGTTAGCAGCGTTAGGGAGGGTGATGGACACAATACGGAGGACTTTCCTGTCCTTTACTACTAGACTACTAGACTACTTTATTACTTTGCCGTATTTTCTACTTCCTGTAGCCACCCGCACGCCCAGTGTACGTTAATAGTTACGTGATATTAGTTTTCAGGCGTGCTAGTATGGACGGAGATTGTTTTTGTTTTGAAACTCTTGAAAGTGTGGACATAGCCTAAGACCAACACAGCACCCATGGGGTCCACTCACGCTCCATGAAGTAGGGTTCCGGCTCCAGTCTCCACACAATCTGTCCTCTCTGGGTGCCATTCACTCCACGATTCTTGGAGTCCCACACGTTGGCCACGCACGTCTCATCTGTGAAATACACACATTTATATTCACACGTTGTTCCCTTTGTGTTCTACCACCCTTGGCTCTACACAGATGCTTTTGTAAGGTGAACAAAGCACGGAGAGATGGTAGTTACTGTTTTCAAATACTTTTTTCAGTGCAGTGGACATATGTGACATGATCTCTATCATGCGCCTTCTATATAGAGGTCGTGTAACATTTCTCCTCATTAATGAGAGGCAGGAGTCATGAGTCTCGGGACTGTTCCAGGCCACGGCTGTCAGCTGTCAGTCAAACGGTCACAAGAATAAAAAAGGGGGTTACTGGTTACTGAGGGATGCTCTGCCCTCAGGTCATAAACCACATCCCAGTGCCTGTAGAGCCATCAAACATTCATGTGTATGTCCTGTGACAAATGGCCAGTGTCCTAATGGATCAATGCTGATGTCTGTCTGTCTCATACACACGCACACACGCACACCAGCACCACAGTCACACCAGGTCACCATCAATAACATCTGAGCCTTTGTTGGTGACAGCAAATTCCTCACACACACACACACACACACATCTGTTTGACCTGATAACACAGTCTGACACAAAGGTCAAACAGTGGGGTGAGGTAACAGAACTCAGGCGGCTCCAGGGGAGGATGGCTGACAGGCAGGCTGGAAACAGTGCTTGGCTCTGGGGAGAAGAAGGCCCCCAGAAATCCCCCTGCATTGAGTCAATACCACCGAAGAGCAGCAGAGAGGTTGAATGGATGGATATCACCTTTCACCGAATTTCTCTGTCTCAGATAGAGGATTGTCCACAGGCAATCACTTTCTTTCACACACACACACACACACACACACACACACACACACACACAAAATTGGTCATCTGTGGTATGAGATGGCCTTAGCTTGGTGCGTACAGTAATTAATTTGCTGCATGAAGCTGCTCTTTCACACTTGAGCCTAAGAACTCAAGAGCCCAGCTGTTGACAGAGACTGGCTTTTATCTCACATTTTGTGAGGTCACAGGGACTTTTTGACCACCAAATTCTGATCAGTTCAAATGTGCAAGTGGATATTTGTGCCAAATTTGACGAATTTCGCGAGAATGGACTGGAAGGACGGACGGACTTACCACCCAAAGAACATCATCCTTGTGGCCACTACTGTTGCTGGCACAGAGGCATAACGATATATCAGGAAAATATATTAGGGTCAATGCTATAAGACACTTGCACGTCTTATTGTATCACATATATACATTATTGTTGTTTTGAACTGATTTTGATGGTAGAAATGCGCTTTTTAGATATTATTTTGTCCAGATTTGATGTCCTCACATCCACAATTTGTAGAGATTCCTGCTACAAGAAGACATGTTTCACTGGATTTTACGGACTGTATAGTGAAATTGTGGTGTCTGGTGTCTGTGGCGGCATTCCCACGTTGAGAACACCAGAAGAATGGAGAGCGACTAGTTTATTAACTCACCAACAACATTGTTATATGAGCAGTACACAAAGTGCCGTCGTCGACCAACCTTGCTCACTCACTTAGAGTTCTTCACAGCGAAGCTGCTTTTTTCTAGCTCTCTGATTGATAGGCCTTAATTCACTTTGGATTTTGTGGTATCGTTTTGGGACAGACTGGTCACACTTAACACCCTCGGTCATTCACCTGCATGTCAGTCTAGGATGAAAACAACATACTTGAAATGTTCGTGTGTGAGAAGATGTAACATGAGAAGAAACGTACTGCTCTTACTGATGCTGAGTCAGCATCACTTTTCATCAGGTTAATACACTCCCTTTCTCGCACCATCTTTTTCTCACACACAAACACAAGCACACAATCCATTGCCAGTTAATGTTGCAGCAGTGGGGCTGACGTAGGATGGAACGCTATCATATCACCATCCTACAGAAACTTCTATTGCACCACCAGACAAGTGGACAGACAGGCAGAGAGACAGACGGACTGAGAGACAACATGGAAGTGAGTGACAAGGTAGAAATCAGCCCAGACCCAGATCCCTTCTACCGGCACTCGGTAGCTGTGGCGGGAGGAGGAGCGATCCCCGCCTTGCTGCTACGCCGTCCCAACACCGAGTAGCTGTAGGCCAAACTTCCTCACGGTGACTTTAAAGTCCCAGTGAAATGGAACTTACTGGAAGGAAGGTCTGGGCCAGTACCAGGACTGAGAGGGGCAGACTGTGAGACTGTCCTGCGGTGAAATGAGAGGTTTTCTGATGGGACTGAAGTGCTCGTAAACACTCCCATTTTAGTCCACAGGGATTTTATTGTCCTAAATCGAGACGATATGAAAGTTACTTGTAGCCTTAATAGCAGGGTAGGTAATCTTGAAAAACTAGCAAGACTAAAAAAAATGTACGGAAAGAGAAGTAAAGAATTCTTGAAGATTACCAACCCTGCCTTTGAGTTAGAAAAATGTTCAGGACTAACACATCCACTGTGTAGTGTGGCGAATGGAAGCTATGTGTGTGTTCCACTGGCTCGCTTATTGCTGCCGCACTACACAGTGCTTATATGGCAGTTATTGGTGATATTGCCGCCCCCCCCCCCCCCCCCCCCCCCCCCCCCACCGTGTTGTTGTGGAAGCGTTACGCCCACCCTCCAACCCTGAGTTTGCTTACCGATGTGGTACAGGCCGATCCAGTCCGTGGCATCCACCTCCTCCTTGATGTCCCAGGAGATTACCAGGTGGCTGTGGCCTAGAGTCAGCTGGTACGTAGACGCCGCAAGTGATGAGCGGCTGTCTGATGTCACCAGGTCTGTGTCGCTATTGGCCCGCTGCAGCCCAACTCCCGCTGTTTCTGGTTGGCTCCCCGGCGACGTAGTGGGGGAGGAGGACACAGGGGCACCGACTTCCCCATCTGTGCCCTGCACCGACAGGCTGCGGAGGTTATCTGGACCAATCGTGTATGGCCGGGTGCGCCGACGCACCGCCAGCAGGTGCTCCCGGGCGCTGCCGCCGTTGGTCGATGATGAGGACGAAGGGGATGAGGGAGAGGAGGAGGCAGTGGCAGCCATCGCCATGGTTTCCGTTGAAGATGAGGCGAGGAAGGGAGAGGGCAAGAAGCGAGGGGGAGAGGAGGAGAGTTGGTGGTGGTGACGGTGGTGCTGGTGTGAGTGGGGCTTAGGGTGAGGATGGCGGTGGTGGTGGTGGTGGTGGGGAGGGGAAGGGGGAGAGGGGGTGGAGAGGCTGGCGGACGATGACTGGGGGCGGGGGTGAGGGGGGAGGACGGCCGTTGCTAGAGAGGGGTGGAGGTCAGATGGGCAAGCCAAAAGAAAACAACAAAGAGGGAAGGAGACACGCACCTCTAGACCAAAGTGTAGAAGCAATGGATGGGCTGGAAAGATGAAATGAAGAGGACTGGAGAAAGGAATGGAGGTATGGAGGTACAGAAATATCAATGGAGTGATCACAAGAGCAGCGCACTGTCCAAAGAAACTTTAAAAAAAAAAGGGTTTGGGTTCCTTAAAGTACATTGCTTTGGCCCTGCTGGCGTACCCTTAGGCAAGGCACTTCAGAGTTCCCAGATTCCACTAGCCGTCATTTAAGGTGCTATGAGGCAGTTTTAAACCATAGTTGAACCTATGTCTCTGTTTTTTGCCCTTCTCTCTCTCTCAGATCCGTCATGGATATCACGTTTCCACTGCGACTGTCGATGCTGATTTATCCGTCTTAACACCCCAAGACACCATATCCATTCTGGCAAACACTAAAGTGTCAACAGCAGAGCAATGCCTTGCTCTAGGGCCCTAGAGTACTTTGTAAACCATCCAGGTACCCATTATGACACAGGGAAGTGGTGGAGTTGGAAGATGGGCAGAAAGAGAGACAAGGTATTAAGGATGAAAGGTGATCCGGGAATCCATCTGGTCTATCTGGAGAGGAGGGTGTGATGACAGGGCGTTCCTATGATCCACAGGGAGGAGAGGGGTGAAGGGAGATTGAAGACCTATAGGGAGAGTGAGAGAGAGAGATGAAGTAAGAAAGGTGGAAGGGGAAAGAGGAGGACAAAAGTAAGAATGGTGGTCAGTATTGTGTGGTAGTGCTTTGTGTGCAGGAGGGCAAATTGTCACTTTTACTATGAGAAACAAAATTGTAATGGTAACTATTCCTTTCAACTTCAGTGTGTTCTATTTCCTTCATCTTCATTACTTAAGTCATTGAAAACGTGGGGCATTTTCCATGCAAGGAAACCAATCTGCTGCGGATCAAGTCTACTTATCGAATCCTACATGGACACGGTTTTCTATGAGTAAAGGTTTGCTGTCTTTTGAAGTTTCTGGATCTGCCATATGTGTAGTTTCTGGTATATTATCGTGGTAAACAGCATGAAGTTCAGCTCAGCTTATCATACAATGCCATTTTCATTTCATTACCTTATCATGTAGCAGCGTTTGACCCAAAATGATGGTCTTTAAGATGTCTTTTGAAGAAAAAGCAACAAAAAAACAGATAGGATTGTTGCATTAACTCATATATCCTGGAACTACGGGTATATATTAGAATACCTTGGTGTCTGGGACAACATTTACCAAGGCCTCACATGGGTCAGATGATTCAAAACCGTACAAAAGTAACACCGCTTTCTAGTACCACGGTCAGGGTCCATAGAGTGGACATCCCATTGGACTGTCCAAGGAAAAGACAACCTCCACAGCCGGGAGGTCGAGTTTCCCCTGGTGGACAACAACATTACCTACGACAACATGTGCCAAAGGATGAACACCACCCACTGGCGAAAAGTGGAACTGCACGAGGAGCCCCCATACAATCCATCAGATACAGGTGCATCTCAATGAATTAGAATATCATCGAAAAGTTTATTTATTTCAGTAATTCAATTCAAAAAGGGAAACTCATATATTATATAGATTCATTACACACAAGGTGATATATTTCAAGCGTTTATTTCTTTGAATTTTGATGATTATGGCTTACAGCTAATGAAAACCCCAAATTCAGTATCTCAGAAAATTAGAATATTACATAAGACCAATATATTCTTTCTGTGCGGCCTGGTACCAAATGATCCACGGCCCGGTACCGGTCCGCGGCCCGGTGGTTGGGGACCACTGTGCTAAATGACTAGGTGTAGGAGCCAGGTAAAGCCTGTGCCATTTTGTGCACCCTTTTTTGTCACTTACGGTAATTGTTGATCGCCATACAAGTTACCATCGCGGCGAACAACAACTGTGAGTGTAGGCTAAAGGTAGGCTACTCCTAACCCCTACCCGCATTGTTGTTTGGGTGTTCTTTTGGATCCTTTTCTTTCGGCTCATTTTCAGAGGAAATGTTGAGGAAAAGTTGCAAAAGCTCTTCCCGTCTGTCCCATCGTAGGCATCCAGTCAAAAGTTAGTTGAAGAAGCAGTGGGACACATCATCATGATGTGTCAAATAATATTTTAAATATTATTTCGACATAATTTCTTGTCAGAATCACAGTGCAGTTTCCTTACTTTTCCAAAAGAAATTCCAAGCTTTTACTGTGGAAAATCCTCAAAATTAAAAATCCAATTCAAATTTTTTTTTTTTACCAGCAAACCATAAAACACTAACGAAACCAGGCTCAGCACACATACACACACGCTCATGCGCACACACAAATTCCCTGCAACACAGCTGGACTGATTTAGAAATAGCTCAGGGGAGAGGCCAGTGTTTAGCATCGTGCTGCTGACAGAGTTTAAAGCCACTTGTGCCCAAATACACACATTTACAAACTTGTAAAATCATCCTGAATGTCCACATACTTAACAAACTAAAACCCTCTCACACACCCCTTCACTCTCTCCGTCTCAGAAAACACCAGTTTACTCCATCCTTAGAGTCAAACGAAAACATTGCTTTCAAAAACACAGAGCTGCCTCTTGTCTTTAAAAAACGAATCAGAAATACACACACACACACACACACACACATACACACGTGTGAACCTCTCTGGAGGTAGATGTCATGATATAGCAGTAGGATTAAAACAGAGAATGGAGGGGATTTATGGTTGACAGAATGCCTCGTCTAATCCGCTGCATTACCACACAGTTTCAATCTGCAGCTGGAGTCGCGGCTGCCTCTGCAGCCATGTTTCAGGTTTTGGGGGAATTTAATAATTCTATAATAATAATTTAATAAGTTGTTTTTTCCTTCATAATTTATATCTGAGCTTGTATTCGGAAAGTTATGCGAGTTGTACAGGGTCACTTGATTTCTGCCAAACAAACCAAGACTGCCTGGGTATGGAATCCGACCCGTTGCTGCATGTCCCCTCTCTCTCCCCCTTCCCCATCTATCGGTATCTGTATCCAATAAAATGCAAAAAAAAAAGCACCATAAGCACCTTTAAATAATTACATCTTGTTGGATACAATATATTATATATTAGGTTTGCTGAGAAGCTGCTCAAAATGTTCCAATGACCATATCAAATTTGACAAACTCTGACTGCACATTACTGGGAAAGTCAGCTCAGATGATATTGTAATACATTGAAAATGTCCTAATTTTTAGACTCCTTTTCCTTCAGAGGATTGCTGAAAATTTCAATTGATACTGTCCAGGATGACCCTCATGATTTGAGGTTATTTTGCTGTAAATTCTTTGAGAAAATTATTGGAAAATATCAGAGAAAGAAGGACAAATGATGACACAGTTTTTGTGGCTAAAGCATCTAAACAGCAGTGTTGCCTGATTTCACTGACAGTTCCTGTCTATGCTCCCAAGCCTATAGGCGGGCGGGAAGAGGGCCTCCCACCGTATGGCGACACGTGTGGTTGGGTTGATGCCATGTCTCGGCAGGGCGTGCATACCTCAGGCTCCACCCACTGTACCCATAGAGTCCAGTAGAGGGCGGAGCCCTAGTTCTAGAAGCAAAAGCGAAGCCCTTTACCAAGGGGACCCTGCCGCTCCTACATCGCTTGCTGGAGAGTGTAGGATGTCGAGCAGCGATGGGTGCTGCTTTATATACTGGAGGCTTCAAACGTATTTGGGTAGGCACGCCCTAATTGGCCAATGCTCATGCTTGTGATTGGAGCAATAGAGTCCAGTAGAGGGCTCCAGCTGTGCTTATAGAACTAGGGTTACAATATCGTAACATTCGATATCTCTGCAGCATAGACGTCTTTGACTTAATGCCAGTGCTGTATCCTCTTCTCATTCTGTTGATAATGTTAGTTCATTTTGTGAATGTTTTAAACTAAAATTCTCTCGCATCTTACACTAGCTAGGATGCTAGCTAGGCTAGCTTGCTAATGTTAGATTCTGATTACCATTGGACAGGTAAATATTCCCAATGCAATTATACTGCAGAAGTCTTTCAATTTAATGAAATTACAGCTCCTGTATGACATCTTCCAGTGTGCATAGATTTACAAGCACAAGAATGTCCCGCTGTACTTCCGCCTCAGCAGACTGCAACTATGCGCAGGCTGAATTCAGCAGGAGAAAGTGGGTGGTGGGTGGTGGTGGGTGGTGGGGGGGGGGCACTGACGCCGTAATATCAGCAGACATACACACACACACACACAGTGGTGAAGTCGCACACACACACACACAAATACCTTCACAAACGTACAGAGACAGAGCAGACAGTGAGTGGATTGATGGGGTGTACAGACTGGATCACAGCGCTGACTCATCACTGCCCTACTGCCCCGCGGCATCCAAGACTCGAAGTGTGTGCGGTCATCGGTGCAGGGTTTCGATTAAGGTGTGTGAGATCAAAAGCTATTATGTTGAATGGGAGCTGCTGCAATGGCAGAGAACTAGTGGGGTAGCCCTGCCATTGCCTGATGAGGTTATCTACCTAAAATCCCTAGATGTCCCACCAGCTGACTGTTATGGAGATCACCTGATGATTGCTTCATGGTTTAAACTTGACATACATATTTTTTCATATTAAATATCATCTATGTTGACCCCCCCCCTCCCTCCCTCCTTCATACCTGAAGTGTTACATTGTGCTGTGTGAATTGAGTGCACTCTATCCCCTGGCAGCCGCTTCCAGGTTATTTATAAGTCGTGAGACTTTGTGACTAAATATACACACACAACCCCGTGAAAACAGACACTGATATCAATACATCACAGCAGGTGGTGGTACGCACACAGGCTGTATGCACTGAGAGAATATTTGCGCACGCCCAAAACCTGCTTTTGATTTGGCACTACTTTCATCCCACGCTAAGACAAAGGAATGATGGGTAGAAGAGAGTGCACATTCAAGTGTTTCCTATAAAAGCTAAATGTTTGTGGGTTGGACAGGAGGAGCATTTCATGCCTGTGACTCTAAATCTCTTGCAGACATCAAAACATTGCTGTTATTCTTCTAGCTGGGGCAGTCCTTGGGTGTATGCGCCTGCGCAGACAACGCTGCCCGACTGAATAATGCAAGTGTCAGAGCTTAAAAGCTGCACTGGGAAAGATTTAGATGGAATGACAAAAATAAAAAAATAGTCGCATCAGCCTCATTAAATCCCAAAGTGGAGCTACGGTGGAGACGGCTGACCCACTCCCTGAAGAGATGCCAAGAAATGTGTCCCATTTGCCCAAATAGCGTTGTGGTGTTGGGGCGGTACTCTCCTCTGAGGGCAAAATATAAAACTGTCCCCACGGTTTCTGGCAGGGTGTTGTGCAATATAGACAACAAGTGAAAGGTCTCTTAAGTTGAATTTACTGGTAGAAATCTGGAAGACCTTTGTACAAAACAGGACCACTATAAAACACATCGATAAACACACACACACACACACACACACACACACAGTCCTGAAATAGCAGTAGCGTGCTTGGAGAACAATGAGGTGGGCCATTCAGGAGGCGACAGCTTCCTGTCCCCAACGCGCCCCTCACATTCCTCTGGGCCGGTGGGTTGGTGTGTTTCGGTGCACTCTTGTAACCTCTAACCTCGTGCAGGACAAAGGTGCCCAGATCCAACGGAACAGCGCTGAAGACGTTTGATTCGCTGGCCTGCCTGGACAAAAACTATACTGGTTAATGTTTGAAAGTAAACTGGGACCTTTGAAAGAAGTGGGCATTCGGGTTTACGGAAGAACACCACTGGGTTGCATTATGGGAAATGTAGAACCGGAATAAATGTCAGGATATGTTAACCTCTGCAGCTTCAGTCTTGACCAGTTTTTTTTTGTTTTTTTATCCGTCTGAAATGCAACAACAACATCCCTAGAGTGATAAACAAACATCTGCAAGAAAGAGAAATAAAAACAGATCACAGCAGCAATGAAGCAACACTCAGTTGACCTGCCAATCTGTCTCCTGCCTAAATGAACCCCAGCCTTCACTGCGGTATATTACAATTAGTTTTCAGATCCTACGTGGAGCCATTAGGGAGGAAACAGGAGACGAGCTGTCCTGGTTATTGATCCGATTGTGTGAGCTCTGATCGGACTCACATTCTTCAACAGAATGAGCGAGCAAGTTGAAATCACTGTTGACTTTTCGCTTCTTTTTTTTTTGCGTAAAGCCGCTTTGACAGCAACGCATACTGCTGTGGATTAGATTTTTGGCTTTGTTGTTGTTGTTGTCTCTATTAGGCCTAATATGTGCCGCTGGTGCCCATGCGCTCACCATATAGCACATCAAAGCATGACTTCATCAGCTCATAACCAGCCCTTCAAAAGTGGACTGATGAGTGAAAAAATAACCAAATGTGATGCAATACACTCCCTGTGTAGAGTCAAGTAAAAGCGTGATGGCAACGTATGTTACTCCCAGGTCCACATCACAGCAACACCCTGTGTGAACCAATAAGACACACATCTATCATTCAATCGGACACACTGCTTACCTCTGCTGGGGCGATTTTAAACGTCGTTGACAACCACCACTGCACGCACAAAATGCCCCGAATAAGTCGTTTTAATTATGGACGACGGATCTCCATACGGCCCGGCCACCGCCACCGACTCTTCATCGGCTTCCCAGCCGGGATCCGGTGCTCCAGAGCCCGTGCGCAGCACCGCTGCTCCCCGGTAGTCCAGAACAAAAATAACTTCCCGTTAATTGTATCGTTTCATTGAATTAGTCCTATTCTTGGATCATGGTTGCCAGGTCTGTCACTCCGCGGCGTCGTTGACTCCACCACGATGTTGCCAGGCTCGGTAGAAAGACGCGTTCATATCTTATTTATTCGTCTGGACCGCTTCACATCCGCCTCCCCCGTTTCCGCTGCACTCGACGCCGCTTTGCTTACACGCTGCCATGCTAGAGGGAGATACAAACCACCAGTATTCCGATTATAAGCAATATGTTTCCACTACTAGCGCTTTAAAAAGCCAGGCCTTGTTGTGGGAGTCCATACCGACCGAGCTCAGCGTCAAAATAACTGCCCCCCCCCATCCCTCGCCTCCCGTTATGGATCATGGTTTCCCAAACTGAGGTTCCTTCAAAGGGTCGCTAGACAAAGGGCCCGCACACATTAAGGACCATTCAGGAGCCCATAATACTGAACTCTACCACATTCTCTAAATAGGATTAGTAGTCATATTGTAACATGATAAACTGTCAACTGGTGTTGTAATTCCTAATAGGATTCAGAAAGTACACTTTTTTCTACTGTGATTTTGAGCAATATTGCTGCTGCTTACATTATTCAGTGCCCCCCCACCACCACCGATAGGCTTGTCCCGCCCCTGTCCTAGATGGAGTGCAGTGACCCGGCGAGGAGACATGATGGAAGCAGACTGTTAGGACGGGAGAAAAGAGGGATTTGTCAATTAATCCAACTGCCTTAATCCCAGCAACAACAAAAGGAAAAGTCCGGCCATCTTTTTGCCACATTACTGCTAAAAAAATTAAAACAAAACAATCACAAGAGAGTGCTAAAAGCAACATCATGCTCATTTTTTTGTGATTTAACAAATATATCTACATCAATCAAAATCAATAGACTCAGAGTGAAAATGTTTATTGAACAAAAATAGTTGTCTTCACAAAATAGGTTAGAACAGCATTTGTGGTATAAAAAGTCGATTTTTTGCAACATTAGGGCTGTGCATACATGTACATATAATACAATCTAAATTAAATTTAATGAGAAAACCTGACATCCACGACATAGGACTGGAGAACAATAAACATATATTACTACCCCAGCCTCAAACATCTCTGTAAAAGTGATACTGACGTTGATGTCTACAGTAGATCGTCTACATATGGACAAATATAAACACCATGACAACTTATTAAATCCCGGCGCCTTACATGTTCAACCCAAGTGAAATGAAAGCATACATGTCGATATGTTATGACGAGACAGAAATGTGAACCGGACGGCTGTTTTGTACGGAGGATTAAAAACAACTTGTTCATAAATCAACCAATACAAAAATAACTAAATGAATTAATATCAATAAATTGAATAATGGATCAATTTAGGTTGGAATGAATACATACATCTATAAATACATGCATACAAAATACATGAACACATACATTAAACCGATATGATATAATAAACCTATTGATACTCACTGTATAGCCCGATTGGTCAGCAGGACCGAGCATGCTTTCGCTAAAGATCTTGCAGCTACTAACAATAAGAGGCAGGTGTAGCAGTCAGCATGTAATAATGCTGAAAGGATCCTTTGACCAGTTGTGCTGCAGTGAAATTAGTACTTATGAGTAACTCATTAACACACATAAATCAATAAATAAAATTACAGAAATATAAAACATAAATAACATAGATGTAGAAATAAATAAAAAGGTATTTGCTCATTTGTTATCAACATAAATGTATTGATTCACGAATGCATTCACTTATTTTTGTATTAATTTTTTATTGTCTAATAAACAATATCTATTTGTATATTCTTGAATATGGTGTTTTTAGTCCTCCTTACAGTACTTGCATGTCGTCTCAAAACTCAACATGATGACGATGAGGCGTTCGTGTGCATTTTTTAAACAACGCAGTGTGTGTTGATTAGCTGGTGGGCCATCGCCATGTTCCCGCTGGCCTGGTAGATGAGAGAGAGGTTGAAGGCGATCTCCCTCCTCAGATCCAGCTGATCATCGGGGATACCCTGAAAGTAGGACCAGCGGTGAGAGGAGGAAGAGGGGGACAGACAACAAGATGAAAAGCTCTTATAAAGCAGCATTTTTTAAAAACCTACAGGAGAATTGTCTGGGCACAAAAACTGGCGGGAAAAAGAGTTGTGGATGTAGGTCCATCCATCAATGTCCAAAAGTGATGTTTGTATACGCACCTCCAGTTTCTGAGCGGGCAGTGTAAGTGCCGTCTGGTAGTAATGTATGGCCAAATGTGTGAGGCCGATCTGGTGCAGTGCCCTGCCCAGGTTGTACATGCTCTCCTGACACACTCCACGGAGGTCCACGTACCGCCACAGAAAGGAAAAACCCTAAACACACACACACACACACACACACACATACATATTTAGGAGGAAGGGAGTGGGGTATGTAACTGTGACGCTAAAAGAGGGAGTACAGATGTGTCTGTTAAATTTGACAGAATGGCCACCGCATTAACGCACAAGACACACACACACACAACAAAAACCTACCTGCAGCACGAGTGTATGTCGTTTGGCGACATACTTTTGAGATGCCATGTGGAAAAAGGTGAGACCCACACACAGGCTGTGGAGTGGGGTTTCGGGGTGAGTCTGGAAGGCCTGAACATACTGGCCTAAAGACAGAGTAAATGTGTTCGATGAATACTGAAGGAAAGTGATCGACAAATGTTTCCTAACCTCAAGCTAACTGGTCAAAGTAAGGCAGAAGCTAATGGGAGCCCGCTGGACAACAACCTGCAAACAATCGTGTTTTATTCTCACTCTGCATCGTCCTATGTGGCTATGAGAACGGACATGCAAATTAAAGGAGTGTGTGAAATTGAGAAATTTACAACTAGACTGAAATTAAGGACAAAAAAACTGGAAAAAATCATTTCTGTTATGGTCTTTGTTTTATCCCTGCGATTACATTTTAAAAGATTTTTTTTTGCAAATATTTGTTTCCCCTTTTCTATGTTGCCATGCTTCCACCGGTTACCCCGTGTGTAACGTCACATTGCTATGAATTGTGGGTAATTCCCTTGGGCAAAGTCTGCAGAAATGCAGTGTGCAATGTGTGTGTTTGTGTGTGCGTGGGTGGTACCCAGAGCGTGCTTGAAGCTCCCCGACACCATGGCGTTGTGTCCGCACAGGACACCCAAAGCGTGGTTGTCCGGATACTTTAACAGCAGACGCAGACAGAAGCGATGGTGACGCTGGTGCTGGGAGGTGATGGTCAGCTGAGAGGAGCACAGAAACATCTCAGACATTCATTTTTACACAGAAACAGGGAACGCTTTAAAGACCACTTGGTATTTCTGTCACTGATAATTGGTTTTCAGATAATTATCTCATAAAGATATATTTTAGCACATATACCAGACCTGGTTGAAAATATTCCACAGCTGAGGCCGATCCACATTTTCCATCAGCATCAATCTGTTGAGAAGAGGGAAAACACACAGAGGACAATTCATACTGTACTTTTAAACAACCGTCACAACATAAGCCATACAAGTGAACAACTGATTCTCTGCCTCGTGGAGCTGTACATGTGAGTTGACCTTATGTAGTTGTAGGCCTTATAGTAGTTGTGGTCAAGGATGGTGGCGGACAGGCCGAAGCACTCCATCTCCTTCCTCCGGGGCTTGTTGTCGTAGAAGGAGTAGAACTCCATGGCGGACTCCACCAGCAGCTCGGCCTCCTCGTAGCGCCGCACCTCGCACAGTGTCAGCACGCAGCTCACCAGCAGCTGCCACCAGTCTTCTTTGGACATAACGTTGGTTTTACCTGGGCACAGGGGTGAGATTACGCCATCAGCATGGCATCGGTATGAATTGTAATGACCCCAGGCGGCATCCTCCGGGTTCTGCCAAGTGAAGTCAAGTGTCATATATATAACTTCCACTTCACTGGGACTTTAAAGCAGACAGCCAAACGATACACACTCACAGTATATCCTTACCAGTGTTGTCCAGATAGGCAGCTTCGTGGTCAGCGATCTCTGGCAGGATGGCCTTCGCCAGTCTCAGGTGATTGACACCCGACACGGTTACAGAACGCACACACACCTTCGCTCGCTGCATGGCCACCTAAGACACCAAGACAAACAAATTGTGCTTTAAAGTCCTAATGATTACATATTAGCTTGAACTAACTCACTGTTGAGATAAAATCTTCCGTGCACGAGTGTGTTACCTTGAGCAGCATGGAGATCATAGTGATCATAGCATCCAGGTAGTCCTGTGTCTGGCCCTGAGTCTTCAGCAGTGTGGAACGATGCAGCAGCAGCTTTAATTCCTACAACCACAGCACACAGAGATATGAGTAGACACATAGAGGAAAAAACTATATTGGCCCTCTTTTTCAAATCACACACTTCACCTTCTGTGCCGCTGACGAGTCCTGTGCCAGCGTTTCGCTGTCGTACATGGACTCCAGAGCCTTGAGGGCGCACTCGGGCCGGCCCAGCTGCTGCTGCAGGGTGGCCAGGGAGAGGCGAGCCTCCAGGTGCTGCGGGGCCATGTCCACCACTTTAGTGTAGCTCTGTGCCGCCGCCTCCATGTGGCCCAGCGCCTTCAGACACTCTGTGTGGGACAAGCGATGAAGGTGCCCATGTAGCAGTGGTTTACATTGCATTTTCTCAAAAAGAGCTGAATTGAGGGAGTGTTGAGTGTTGATGTTTGAACCATCTAGTTGGAGCTTTTAAAGCCATTCAAGTCTAACTGAAATAAAAAAAGGTTATAATGCGAGAAAGTGGTTGATTCATCCATAGGATCATTTTGGAGGTCCACATTCGTGTGCTGTTGAACTGTATCTACACAAAACGCCCAGAGGCTTGAAGCTTAAGACTCTATCCTGAAAACAAAATGTTCAACTTGACCCTCATTCTTCATTTTAAAGGAACAATATCAACTCTTACCAAAATTTGGATTTTTGGCCTGCAGTTCCCTTTTGAAACGCTAGCCGTCAGTGTTACGCCTTGAAGATATTTGCTAATTTGTATACATCATATTTATATCACGTAGGACATGTGATAACTGCTTAAACTCTTGCTTTCTGATGGTCCCACCTGCGTGTCGGAGCCAGACGACAGCCAGGTTGTACTTCTCGGATATGACGAGGGCAGACAGCAGCGGCAGAGCAGCCATGTACTTGCCCTCCTCCAGGTAGGCTTCACCTACGTCCAGGTACAAGTCACCAATCTCCTCTGGACTCTGCTCCATCAGCGATGACACCAGCCCCTGTCAGTGAGACAGATGTTTAATATCCATTTTCACTTTCAACTCACTGCTAGGAATCAATATTTTAAGCCTAAATTGGATTTTTGAAATGATGCAAGTGTGTTACTAATGAAATCTTTTAAGTTCCGTTTACCTCCAGGGGTGTGTCGACATGCAGGTGTATGAGGCAGACAGTGAGCTTGGCCCTCAGGTCCACTGGGACACTGTCTGGTACATGGACATCTTTGATTTCACCTGGAGACAGACAAAGGTAAAAACAAAGCTGTATTGGATTTTATGGTTCTTAAAATGTTCACATTTTGGAGCAATTTTGATTTTTGATCGACTACCGTGCCTCGCTATAAGCACAGCAGCTTTCTTCTGTAAAATCAACGAAAAGGGAAATATCTACATAAAGATTTACATTTTTGCAAAGGGTTACTCACCCTCCTCTTTAACAGCCATTTCCTCTTCAGTCTTTGTGTCTTCCTCGTTCTTCTTCTCTTCTTCCTCAGTCGTTTCCTCTGCCACCCTCTCTTCTTGTCTTGGTTCCTCACACACTGATTCGGATTCATCCTTCACCAAAACTACACCCGCAAACTGGACCAAGACCTGGGAAAACACATGCAAAGTACATGCATTCATTAACACAGAATACACCTTTCATTTGCTCCATCTCTAAGGCCCAAGTTGGCTGCAAAATATAAACTCACATGTAGATTTTTAAGACCTCCTGTTTCTAAAGCATCTAAAAACGAATTGGCCTCCTTTGTATAATCCCCAGACGTGTAAATAGTGTTTTTAATCCGTGAACTATTTGTTCACACACACAGAGGTCTACCTGCAGTGCCTTGCTGTACTGGCGGTTGGCGATGTGGAGCTCAGCTGCCATGTTGATGAAGTCATCGCTGACCAGGACGGGGTGTCGCTCCAGAGCTTCCTCTATTACACCCAGAGCTGAGGGCAAGTCGTTACTCTCATAGTAACTCCTGAATAGGACACACACACACACACACACACACACACACACACACACACACACACA